TTTCAGCTTGTCTCCCTTCAGTTTTTCTTAGGGTGTTTTTCTTTTTAATGTAAAATTTTGTTTAACTCTTTTATGTTTTTTTTTTTTTAAAGAAAGTTTTAAAGAACGCCGGGTGCTGTATCTCTACAGTAAACAGGAAGCTCAGATTGCAGATAATAAGCGATTAAGCTGATTGGAAAATAACCCCAGGGTTAAATGATCCCATTTCCTTCATATGCAGGTACATCGAGCTGCGCCAGTTCGGATCTACCCCGCACGGGGGCTTCGGCATGGGGTTCGAGCGATACCTGCAGTGCATCCTGGGAGTTCAGAATATTAAGGACGTCATCCCGTTCCCACGATTTTCCCACTCGTGTGTTTTGTAGCTCTCCGACCCAACTTCTGTTTTGGCTTCTCTTGTAAATTCGCGGCGTGCCTAAATGACACTGTGCAACGTTTAGAGGAAGAGAGAGAAAACAACAGACTTCCTTTTTTTTCTGTCTCTCTTTTGTATTTTCCCTTTTTCCACCGAAGAGAAGTGAAAAACACTCAGGTTTGATGTCTGCCCCAGCTGCAGAAGTATTTATTTGTGTCTATGTCTGAGGAGCCAGATTGTTGGGGCAAGAGGCTGACTCTGTAAACTGCTTAGAGAGGGCTGTAAAAGCACTGGGAAGCGGTATATAAGTCTAAGTACTATTGGGAAGGAAGGAAGGGAAAGAAAGAAAGAAAGAAAAAGAAGGAAAGAAAGAAAAAGAAGGAAAGAAAGAAAGAAAGAAAGAAAGAAAAAGAAAGGAAGAAAGAAAGAAGGAAGGAAAGAAAGAAGTGGTGTTGCAGGGGTTATAATGCAGTATTGCAGGCTAACTCTGCCCACAGCTAGGAAGTTCGATCCTGACCGGCTCAAGTTTGACTCAGCCTTCCGTCCTTCTGAGATTGGTAAAATGGGGACCCAGATTGTTGGGGGCAAGAGGCTGACTCTGTAAACTACTTAGAGAGGGCTATAAAAGCACTGTGAAGCGGTATATAAGTCTAAGTACTATTGGGAAGGAAGGAAGGGAAAGAAAGAAAGAAAGAAAAAGAAGGAAAGAAAGAAAAAGAAGGAAAGAAAGAAAGAAAGAAAGAAAGAAAAAGAAAGGAAGAAAGAAAGAAGGAAGGAAAGAAAGAAGTGGTGTTGCAGGGGTTATAATGCAGTATTGCAGGCTAACTCTGCCCACAGCTAGGAAGTTCGATCCTGACCGGCTCAAGTTTGACTCAGCCTTCCGTCCTTCTGAGATTGGTAAAATGGGGACCCAGATTGTTGGGGGCAAGAGGCTGACTCTGTAAACTACTTAAGAGAGGGCTGTAAAAGCACTGTAAAGCGGTATATAAGTCTAAGTACTATTGGGAAGGAAGGGAAAGAAAGAGAAAAAGAAAGAAAGAAAGAAAAAAAGAAAGAAAGAAGTGGTGTTGCAGGGGTTATAATGCAGTATTGCAGGCTAACTCTGCCCACAGCTAGGAAGTTCGATCCTGACCGGCTCAATCTTGACTCAGCCTTCCACCCCTCCGAATTGGGTAAAATGAGGACCCAGATTGTTGGGGGGGCAAGAGGCCTATAAACCGCTTAGAGAGGGCTATAAAAGCACTATGAAGCGGTATATAAGTCTAAGTGCTATTGGGTGGGAAGGAAGGAAGGAGCCTTGGTGACGCAGTGGTTAGAATGCCGTATTTGCAAACTCTGCCCACAGCCAGGAGTTTGGTGCTGGCCAGCTCAAGGTTGACTCAGCCTTCCGTCCTTCCCAGGTCAGTAAAATGAGGACCCAGATTGTTGGGGGCAAGAGGCTGACTCTGTAAATCACTTAGGGCAAAAGGAAGGAAGGGAGGAGCTGTGGTGGCGCAGTGGTTAGAATGCAGTATTGCAGGCTGACTCTGCCTACTGCCAGGAGTTCGATCCTGACTGGCTCACGGTTGACTCAGCCTTCCGTCCTTCCGAGTTGGGTAAAATGAGGACCCAGATTGTTGGGGGGGGGCAAGAGGCCTATAAACCGCTTAGAGAGGGCTATAAAAGCACTATGAAGCCGTGTATAAGTCCTAAATATTATTGCTATATTCTATTTTTTTTAAAAAAAAATATCAGTTTTTAAAAATGGCAGGGCCTTATGTGAAGTCTGGTTACAAAGATCATCCTAGAGTTACGACTATTCCTTTAGTGGCCGTTGGAAGCTACAATGGCACTGGGGGGAAAAGCAACAACTTATGACCGTTCCTCACACTTAATGACCATAACAGCATCCCCACGGTCATGTGATCAGAATTCAGGAGCTTGGCAACCAGCCTGTATTTTTGGCCGTTGGAAGTATCCTGGGGGGTCATGCTGGATTTGCTTAACAACCATGTCACTCACTTAACAACGGCAATGATTCCTCGAACAGCTGTGGCGAAAAATCGTAAAATCGGACACATTTAGCAACCGCTCCGCTTAGTGACAGAAATTCTAGTCCTCATTGTGGTTGCACATTGAGGACTACCTCCATTGAGTGTATTCAAACTTTTTCCAAGGCTTTCATCTTACCAGCTAAGATCCTTTTTAAACACAGCTCAGAGCTCAAAACCTGGAAAAGCAAGGAGTTTTTATGATTAAATTCCACCTGGATAAAGGGAAGGATTAAAAGCAGCTCCAAAATTGTTAAGCGCTTTCAAACTTGTAAAATTCAAACGCATCTGAGCTTTTGACTCGAGTCTTATCAAGATTAAGCAGATAAAAATCTCCTTCAAGATGCGTTTGGTTCTTTTGCGACTTCAGGGAAAAACAGAACAAAACACACGACGTTGCTTTCTTAGCCACAAAGCTTGATTTCCCATCACCTTGTTCCAATGTGATGCTCACTTTTTGTTTTTCAACTTTCCACTCTCTAACTTTGGGATCCCCCTAATTAACATTTCAAATGATAGCCCGATTTGGTAAATTTGAAAAGAAGGGAGAAAAACAAAAGGCTTGGAACTGATGTGCCGTGAGTTCTAATGCCGCTTTAGGCATGAAAGCCAATGGGTTGACTTCGGGCCCATCGCCAAGAGTTTTATGAGTTCCAGTCCTGCCTTAGGCATGAAAGCCAGCTGGGTGACTTTGGGCCCATCACCAGACGACTGGGAGTTCTAGTCCCATCTTCTCCTGCGAGAAGACTCGCAGGCGTCTTCTCCAGCACCAGAGTTCAAAGGCCTCCATTCTTTGGAGCTCAGCCTTTCTTATGGTCCAACCTTCACAGCCATCCATTGCAACTGGCAAAACCACAGTCTTGACTAGATGCACTTTTGATTGGCAGGGTGATGTCTCTGCTTTTTAGTCTGCTGTCTGGATTTGCCATTGCTTTTCTCCCTAGGAGCAAGCGTCTTTTAATTTCTTGGCTGCAGTTCTCATCTGCGGTGATCTTTGAGCCCAGGAAAATAAAATCGGTCACTACCTCCATTTCTTCCCCATCTATTTGAGAGGAATTGAGAGGGCCAGATGCCACGATCTTAGTTTTCTTAAGGTTGAGTTTCAAGCCAACTTTTGCACTTCTTCTTTATCCGCATCAAGAGGCATGAAAACGTTTAAAGGTAGCTAAAATGTGGCCACCCAAACAAAGGAGGCAGCTATCAGAGCTTTGCCACTGCGTCGTAACTCCCCTTTATCCAGCTGCCAGGAGCTGGCTAAGCAACCGGTCATAAGTCAAAGACTACCTGTGTGTCAATGGTAAGAGAAGGAGGGAAGTCAATAAAGAGGGATAATGGAAACTAATCACGGAGAGAAGCAACTTAGAATTAGTGAGAAATTTCCTGAGAGTGAGAACAATTAATCAGTGGGACAACTTGCCTCCAAATGTTGTGAATGCTCCAATACTGGGAGTTTTTAAGGAGATGTTGGATAGCCATTTGTCTGAAGTGGTGTAGGGTTTCCTGCTTAAGCAGGCAGGGGGTTGGACTAGAAGACCTCCAAGGTCCCTTCCAACTCTGTTATTCTATTCTAATTCTATTTATATTCTATTCTATCCTATCCTATCCCCTATTCTATTCTATCCTAACCCTTATTCTATTTTATCCTATCCACTATTCAATTTTATCCTATTCACTATTCTATCCTATCCCTTATTCTATTTTATCCTATCCTCTATTCTATCCTATCCTAACCCTTATTCTTTTATCCTATCCTCTATTCTATCCTCCTATCCCTTATTCTATTTTATCCTATCCCCTATTCTATCCTATCCTATCCCTTATTCTATTTTATCCTATCCATTATTATATCCTATCCCTTATTCCAGTGTTTTTCAACCTTTTTTGTGCAAAGGCACACTTTTTTCATGAAAAAAATCACGAGGCACACCACCATTAGAAAATGTTAAGAAAATTTAACTCTGTGCCTATATTGACTATATATAAGGTGTTTTTCCCACGGCACACCTTACACTATGTCACGGCACACTAGTGTGCCACGGCACAGTGGTTGAAAAACACTGCCTTATTCTATCCTCCTATCCTTTATTCTATTTTATCCTATCCCCTATTCTATTCTATCCTAACCCTTATTCTATTTTATCCTATCCACTATTNTTTATAAGCAGACAGTCATAGATTTACACCAGGGGTGGGTTTCAACCGGTTTGCGGCGGTCCCTGCGAACCGGTTGGTCGCCGAACCCGGAAGTAAGTAACTTCCAGGAATTGGCGAAGGGCCCACCCGCGCGCCCGCGCTCCTTACCCGGTTTTGACGAGTTCTGCGCTTCCACGCATGTGCAGGACGCATACAGCGCCTGCGTGATCCTCCAGGAGCAGCTGGAGCATTGCACAGACGCTAGTACGCATGCGTGCGCTGCGCGTGTACACACACGTGCACGCGCGCGCCGTTCCAACCGAACCGGTTGGAACGGGGCGAGAAACCCACCCCTGCTGTGCACCCTTTAAAACTAGTGGACAGCTGGGAAGATTCTGGAAGTGTCTGGACTTGCAACTATAGAGAAATTGCTCTCTGTTAATAGAAGGTGTTCTACCTTCTATTAGAAAAGCATTGACTTCATTTTGTTCTTGACTTTACCATGCAATCTACTGTTCAAGAGTATATATTGATGATTATATATTTAATTAAGTGCATTTAGCCCTGTGTAATTCACCTTAGGTTCTACACACTCCACTGAAGCAGAAATACTTCAAGAATCCCCACATATTTACATACACACCCAATCTGTTTATATTCTTCCAAAAATGAATGCTGCCAACAAACAATTTCATTTATATTGCTTATAGTAATTGAATTTTGTTCCAACTCTTCTTCACAACAATGCACTGTGAAGACAATATTATAATGGTGAAACTGGAATAATTGCCTTTGCCCTAATATTCTTATTTAAATGCATTAAAAACCTATTAGCTATATATAGCAGCAATAGCATGTTTAATATTTATGCTAATACAAATTATATATTATGTTAAAGGTTACAGAATAGCTTCTTCTCCATATCATTAAATGATTTCAGAAATAGACATTTAATAATGGGAA